ATAAACTCATTCTTGTTCTTGTATCATGTCCGTTCAGGACATCAGCAATCATTACTCTCCACAATTTCCTACCCTTTGTAGCTCTTAATCAATTTGGTCTTTTTGTTATCTCTCCTAAATCTTTATTCATGCTCATTCTTCTTCTATGTCCCTTTAAGCTTTCTACAATTTCCTATCAATTTTAGCTTTTAATAAATTATGTCTCTCCTAAACCTTGTTCTGCCATCCATTTACTCAACTTTGCAAGGTAGTTTATGTATTGTTTTCCTTTGTCTCTCTTACCTTCAATCTGTCCTGTGAGTATCAAATTTTCCAAGCCCTCTATCCTCATTATGTACAATAGAAATTCCAACTGTCTCTTCCTGATATTAAGTATAAGTGCCTTTTTTGTCTCCATTTTCCCTAAAACATTTGTTGTTGCACACGGTGTTGTTGCCATGGTATCCTTATCATCCAATTTTTTGTTGCTTCAAGTTTCTTCTTCATCTGTAAGGAGATTGTCCAACTTTCACGGCCATAGAGGAAGACTGATATTAGATAACAGTTCAGTACTCTTTTCCTTGTTTCTAGCAAAATTTCCTGCTTCTTAATACTTTGCTTAGTGCTAGAAAATCTGAGGCCAGTCAGAAATGGACAAAAATGGGTTTTTCATAAAAAAAATGAACTGGACAAAAACTTGAACAAAGCATATGAAAATGTTATTTGATGTTAAATCTTTTCAGAAAATGATTTTTTCTCTCCGTCCTTTTTGGAAAACTTAGTTCTACAACTATCCATAATTTTGAATCATCTAAACATATTTTTTCTGAGAATAGACAAGATTCTTTAGCTTCTCTGACAAATAACCTCTTGTTAAAATAACCTACTGCTAAAGTAACCTCCTGTTAAAATTATGGTCGTACTTGATGTGCTTTGCAGTTTTGGCCTGGATTTTTAAATTTCCCAAATTTATATGGAAATTAGTGTGATTACAACAAATAGTTCACTATAATGACAAACCCTAAAGTGACCGAAAACCTGTGGACTTTTGGCAAACTCATTAGTCAGGTCATACCAACTTCCTTGGGGTTATGGAGTTGGGCTGGGGGTGTCAGAAATACTGAATCTTAATAAATTTGACTTTGTTTATTTGAGTTCAATCTCTTCCAAGGCCCTCATAAGTATTTAATTTGTTTAAATTATTATTAACCACTCTCCCATATTTTTCTCCTAATATTCCTACTACTTCACTCAGAATTAAACAATTTCTTCAATACCTCAAGTGATTAACCACTTTTTTATGCACTAGTAACACTCAACCAGGGCTATTGCCCTGTTGCAATGTTTCAACCAATGTGTTGTCCAGCCAGTAGAATTTAGAAGGAACCAAAAACTCATTCCTAAACAGGAAACAGGGGATAAACCTCTACTTCTGTTCAAAAGGCTTGGAAAGAGTGTGAACTGGATGATAAGTAAACCCATCTATTCCTATTAATTACTGTCATCAATTTCACAAACAAATCAACTAGGCTTTTTTTTAATTATTTTTTTCTTTGGCCTTTGAAAATGTGTACAATAAATGATTTTACTCGTACATTCAGAAATTATCTACAATTTCATCTCAAAATTGACAAAGAAAAATGTTTTTCTTCTTTTCCTTTCTTTTCGTTTTCCTGGGTATGATGATAAATTACATCTGGCATCAGGGGATTGAAGGTTTTGAACAATGTTGAACCACCTTTTAATTAGTGTTGTTCCCAGGTGGTAACACCTGTTAGTGTCCCAGCTATAGGCAAATAGTAAACCCCCAAACAAAACCAAAGCACTATGAAAGTACAAAAATACACATTTATAGTAAAATTACCACCAGAACCTAATTTATAGTATATATTTAGTTGAAACCATAAATTCTGTTCAAAATATTTAGTCATTAAATAACCCATAGGGGTTGATATGTCGCTAAACAAAATCAGCCAACCAACAAATCATTCTCTTTGTTTTATTTATTTGTTTTACTACAATGCATGCTTCTATTGTGGAATAAAAACCATGAATTATATCTTAAATAAAAGAACAAACTGATATTACAGTTGGAAAGTAATTGCAGTTCAACCTGGCTTAATAGCGGCATTTGTTTAACCTATTAAAGGTTATATTCTGTCCTAAATGTCAATGCTATTGTGTCCAACAATGGACAAGAGTTATCGATGTTTGAGTTCACTTTTGATCAATCTTTTCATGACAGATTGGCCAGATCTTGTTTACCATGTTTTATCAATGTCAAGCCAGTAGGCAAGTGGGTTTAGGGTTGCTTAGTGATGCATCACTCTCCTTAATTCTTCACTTTTATTGAAAATACTGCCGGTAGGGGTCAGGGAGTGATCATTGTTCAAAAATTGTTAACTCTGTACTGTCCACTCTGTCCTTTATGCTTCATTCCTTCCATTTTTATCTGCCTAGTTTCTAACCATCATTGGGAGATTTTGATTGCAATTTCTAGGTAAGGAAGATTCAGACACTGGCATTTGTAGGATTTGTATTTTAATTGAAATATACAATTATTTTAGTGACATGAATCTTATTTCTTTAACTGTCTATTAATAACATGGGGTGTTTGAAGATCTCTGTTGTAGAGTAGGACTTAGCATACTTCCTGCTCTTCCCTACTACTGTGACAATAGCCTGCTCCTACTTATAAATATAGCAAGTAGCCACATTAAACTAGGATTTGAGTAGTAGTTGATTTACTCAAGTTCTTCTATTCTATGTATAAATATTTAATAAAGCTCTTCTTTGATTTCTTTACCTAGACTTTTGTTTCTCTGATACTCTAAGTACGGCCTTCCTAATTCCCGGCTATTTTGAACAAAGACAACATCAAGACAATCTCACAAAATTTTTTTCTGTCATATTCAGCAAGTCAAATTTTCATGATTAGTCAAAGAGCTGTTGTAATGTCTTTGTTCAAAATAGTTGTTTGAATTATAAGCATATGACTGTAAAGTAAAGATTGTAGCAAATTTGGTAGAAACATATGCAGTGACTTATGGTAACCTCTTCATTACTTGGAATGTAAAAAAAAAAACAGTTAAGGAGGAGTTAGATTGTTCATAAATAGTTTTAAAAGAGCATATTGAAAGTAAAATGAAAACTATTTTTACATATTTTAATTTTTTGAAAATTACAAATTCATTTTTAATATTTGTCTTTTTTTTTACCAATTTTTCCAAAATAAAACCTTTTGTTTTTCATTTTATAAAACCAGAAAGAACACAAGAACGCATTGTCTTGAGACAATGCATCCTTGTGGGTGACAAATTATTTTCCACTTTACCCAGAATCAAAAAAAGAAATTTCAAATTTTTCTTCTGATTCTGGGTATAAATGTCTTCTTTGCTTCTATTTCCCTTAAAACTTCCTCATTGTTCACATGTTCCATTCATATTCTCAGCATCCTTATTATTTTTTTCTTGCATCTAAGTCTGTATGGAGAAAATTTTATTGTTCTTTTTTTTTTATTTATTTATGCTTGCATGATATAAATTGAAATAAAAATCTTTTGAATTTTACTAATTATTTCCTTGTAAATGGTAATGGTAATATTAGCCTTTTCTCTACAAGAAAATATTCAGCATTCATTGATTGAGCATCCAGTACTGTTTTTGGTTGAAATTTATAAAATCTTTCTCTTAAAAGACTTTTTAGGAAAACAAGTTTCTCAAGTCCAGTAGCTGTTATCGCTTTTTCCAGTATTAATGGGGATTTCCTTCCTAACCTTCTATTTGAAGTGATGTGGAAAATTAACATCTTGATTATGTTATTATTTTTTTTCTTTGAGTTACATGTGCTATCAGTTTTACTTGTTGTTGCTGTTGAAAGTTTTTAAGTGATGTGTTTTTTGTTATTTATTAGAGTTCTTTGTTTGTGATTTTGTAGTGACAGTCTACAATGTTCAAACAAGAATGATCTTTGCCAAGACCTTCAGGCATGCAAAAATAAATTCTATGTCAGATATTAGTTTTCTTATTTACCATTTATTTGTCTATGTTTCATCGAGGAAAATAAATCTGATTTCCACCTTATTTTTGTACTTATTCCAATATTTTCATCTTTGTTATACAAACAAATATATCTTCTAATTCACATCTTTCTGGAAGAAGTGGCATGAACAGTTTTTAACAACTTCCTATTTGCAAACAGTAATGAATTATGTTTAGCTGAAAAGTTCATAGGCTGACCAAGATAATCTCATGGAATGTGACCAAATGAAGTTTATTTTCAACATAGTCCCCCATGCAGTCCACACACTTCTTCCATCAGTGTTGTAGTGCTTGGATCCCATTGGTGAAGAAGCTTTCATATTGTTGGTCAAAAAGGCTGTTGATGACTTTTTGACCAACAGGATGAACAGTCTTTGACAGTCCAATGTCAGTTTACCTGGAAATAAACAATGCAGTTATTAATAAGAAGAGTTGAAATTAACACATGCATCTACAAGATTTCACACCTCTAGCATCACTCCTTCTTAGTCAGCCTATGAACTTATCAGCCCACCCTCATGCCTGGAAAGGAACAATGCAGTTATTAATAAGAAGAGTTGAAATTAACACATGCAGCTGTAAGATTTAACACGTCTAGCATCACTCCTTTATAGTCAGCCTATGAACTTTTCAACCCACCCTTATAAGGTAAATTTTTTTTTAAAATTAATGTTTTCAATAATAAATGTAGAAAATGATTAAAACTGCAATGTAAAAGATAAATTTCAGAATAGTTATTGACATACCATTTTAATTTTTTTAATTTGCAAATGTGAATGAAATATTTTTGATTTTGATTTGATTTTTTGTTGTATAATTTTGCCTCTGATTGTGATTCCTCTTTGCCCATCTATTTCAGTTTAAAGTGAGGCATGTCCCCACAAGTGAGTGCCTCCTAATAGTGCAAATGTTCTCAACTCATATTTCAAAAGTTTAATTTCATTTCCTTTTTGTCTTTTTCTTCCTCCTGTTGATCATCAGAAAGGGAGAGTGAACGTCAACGATTTCCTCAATGTGTTGATGTCTGACCCAGGGCCTCAGTGCCTTATGTGGTTGCCAATCTTACACCGGATGAGCCAAGCTGAAACTGGTAAGAATGGAGCTTTCTGTTTATTATTGCTTTGGTATATTATTAAGAAAAATCTGATGTAATTTTAAAAATTCATATAATTTATTTCACAAACAGGAATGCTAAACCAGTCAAGTGTTTAGATGATTTTAAAATGTTATTTATATTCTATATTGTAAGAGTTTTAAATACCCTTCTGGAAAATTTAAATACATAAAATTCAAAAGTGTGCAAACAGATCTAATTGTAATAATCATCCAGTTCACAATCCTCTCCGGTCTTTTGAACAGGAGTAAAGGTTTATCATTTATTTCTTGTTCAGGATTGGGTTTCCAATTTCTTCTAAAGTCTTCTTATTCCTTTTCACTCCAAGTAGCCCAGTGCATCTTAGTGGCTTTATTGCCTTGTTTGGAGAGAGTTGTTTTTTTTGTTTTTTTAAATGGCTGTATTTTATTTAAATATTTTTATATTTACTGTATAAATTTTAAATTGAGAGACACATTTAAATCTGTACATTTTTAAAATTCAAGTATTTAAATTTTCCAGAAGAGTACTTAAAACTGTTACAATATAAATATTTTTAAAGTTATATATTTGCTGTATGGATATGCAAGTGTTGTAATAGCAGATCAGAAAAAAAAATTGGCAAGCCAAGTTCAAATTCCTGTCAAAATTGTTAGTTTTGAATCCTTATCTTCACCCCCAGCTATAAGTTAAATAGTGAAATAATTCTATGGAGCCATTGACAGGATCCTGGTGTTCCCAATGACTCTATAATCTCAACTATGATTGGCTTATGACTGTTTTATTATTATTATTTACTGTGTTTGATGGCTTATAAAAGACCCTAGCCATATAAGACCCTTTTCCATATCAACAGAGAATATCAAAGCAAAAGTTATTGGATGGCACATCAGATGTTACTGCAAATTCTTTTATGTCTCCTATTTGGTCCATTTCAAAGCAAGTTTCATTTTGTACTTTCATTACAAATTTATGAAATGCTAATATTTTTGGGGAAAAAAAGTGGTCCTTTTATACTGTAATGGACATCCACACACATATATCTAGTTTTTACTTAAATGTTAAAAGAAAAATATATACTTTCTGGTGGGATTCTTTACTAACATTTACTAACATTTCTCAAATATTCAGGCCGGGAGATGAAAATAAATAAATATGCTGTTTAATAAATAAATGCAGTGTCTACACAAATATGAGCATCCACTAAAAATAATGTTTAAGTAATAAAATCTGTTTGGTTAATAAATAAAAAAATCAATTAATTCTTTTATAATATATATATATATATATATATATATATATATATATATATAAAGAACTCTGGTGAAATAAATTATTGTAATGGTACCTTAAAGTGAAATAAATTATTGTAATGGTACCTTAAAGTAAGTCTATTTTCTTTTAAATTATATATCTTTTATATATATATATATATATATATATATATATATATATAAAGTGAATAGTTGTAAGGTTGTTTGAAGCCAAGATTGCTGATTTTCAGTAGTTTACTGGTAGAAAGGTATTTAAAGCAAGCAGACTTTGTGGTAAAGTGCTCAATATCAAAGACAGAGCGTTGGTAGACCCTTGTTTTTGTATAATTACTTTCTGACAACATCCAATCCTTCTGCTATATTTACAAAAACCAACTTACACCAACATGGAACAAATACAATTTAATTACTCACTAAAAAACTTACCCACATCAAACATACAAAACTACAAAATCTTACAGAAAAAATAGAACATTTCATAAAACATGTAAGATGAAAAGTATTCTATTTCACCAACAATGACAATCACAATGAGGCTGATAACAACTAAAACAATTTTGGTTTTAAGTCAATGAAATTCCCACCACAGCAAAGCGGCCTTATTGCATTAAAAAATTGTTGCTTTCCAATTTCAGGTGGAATGACTGTAAAAGTTTTCCCCCTTTCCTTTTATAGGAAAAAGTCCACAAAATCCATGCTGGGATACTTTTCTTAGTCAATAAAATAGGTCAATTTTCATTTTGACTTGACTCAGTCCAGATTGACCTTGTCTATATGGAAGATCATTGGATTCCCTTGAATTCAACTTGAAGAAAACTTAAAAATGATAAACAAATCAGAAAAATTATATATACAAATTGACAAATCCAGGATAATCTACAAAACAAAAACTAACAACTACAAAAAACAAGTCAAAAAAGAGGTCACCAAGTTCTACAAAACCACTAGCAATGAAACAGAATGTAACATAAACAAAAAAGTAACAATCATGGATGCCAAATTAAAACTAGATAACAGAATCAGAAAGCTACCAAAAGTATAACCATTCATCAAACTAAAAGACCACAAGGATAACTTCTTAAACCAACATGTAGTCTACTAAACCCCACAAAAAGCAACATTGGAAAAGTAAGCAAGCAAATAGTAAAAAAAAAAATTCACAAAATTAAGAAATACACTAAACATAAACCAATGGAAAAACACAAAAGAAAACATCCATTGGTTCAAGATCAGCAGCACTGTAAACTTCTTCTTTATACCTCTAGATATAAAGAACTTCTACCCATTCATCAATAAGCACACACTAAACAATGCATTAAACCTATTAAAACAACACATAAGCATCCCAGACAAAGACTTAGACATTATCAAGCACTACTGAAGATTAATACTATACTACAACAATAAAATATGAACAAAAAAGCACAACATCCACAACAGAAACAATGGCAATAATGATTACAGCTTGGATATAACAATGGGTAGTTATGATGACAGAGAAATATGTGAACTTATAGTCATATATATCATTAATAAACTGACAAATATCATTAACAAAAGATATAGGTTTATACACAGACAACAGACTAATAATTCTAAGAAACTGTAACAGAAGAAACAGAAAAAATAAGAAAACAAATTCTAGAAATCTTCCTACACTAGGATTCACAACAGACACAAAATCTAACCTAAAAATAGTAAACTTCCTAGATATAACATTCAACCTAAGCAACAACACATACAAAGCTTACAGAAAAGTAAACAACAACAACCCCATATACATTAACAAGAATTTCCCCCACTAACATATTCAAACACATGCCCATATCTGTAAACAAAAGAATATCAATGAAAATATTCAATGAAAACAAAAAATATACAAATCAGCACTAAGAGATAGTGGATATATGAACAAAGTAGAATACACAAATAAAAACAAAGTAAGCAAAAACAACAGAAAAAGAAACATAATCTGGTTCAATCCCCACTACAATAACACAATAAAAACAAAAAATAGGAAAAATATTCTTCAGCAATATAATATACAAAGCTACCATAACAAATAATATAATGACAGAAGAAAAATTTACATGGGAGTCACAGAAACAACCTTTAAAGAAAGATTTAACAATCACAAAACATCATTCAAAACAAAAAGATACTCAAACAACACAGCCTTATCAAAATATATATGGAACCAAAAAGAAAACAACATCTTCACCAAAATTAAATGGGAAATCCTAAAAAGAGCATCGCCACACAATATCAATAGCAGGAATTGTAAATTATGTTTAGAGGAAAAATGAGATAATGGGTAAATGCAGACACTCAAATAAATACTTACTCTGCCACCTAAATACAAATACAAATGAAGCAAACAAACACAGTATAAAATGCAATTCTATTACAATCACAACTCCTTGACACACCCAATACCTTGTCTCCTCTGAAACCAAATGGAAAAACCAATCAGTAAAAAGACTAACCACAATATCAATAATACCCAATTCACCACCAAACGTGATAACTGAAAAACACAAGTACAATCAACACTTATACTCACCACAACATAAAAACCAATATGTGCACACTTGAGTACACACACATATACATATGTACATATAAATATCCATACCTACCGTCATCACAACACAAAGATACACATACACATGAGCATGTATGCACACGTACATGTGTACACATATGAACATCAATAAAAAATATGAAAACAACAGATAGAACTACACACAAAGAAATGCAAAAAAAAAACAATTACACAAATTAATACACCAATTTGCATAAAAAACACACACAACACCAATAATCATACAGATATGTGCATGTGAGTGCATACACACATGTACATAAACACATATTCATATGCAAACACACAATCAAATATATGTATGCGGGTGCATAAGTATATGCATGCAAATGCAATGCGTACACACATATAAACATTTAACAACCATCATTAAAGCCATCAAGTGGTCAACATACCATAAAATAATAAAACCTCCCAATCAGCAAAAACCCCACACCACTCTTAAAAGTCAACAATAGGCTAAAAATAAAAACTCCAGACATAACAGAATAAAATAAAGAAAAAAAAAGAAAGAAAAGAAAGAAAAGAGAAAAAGATAAGGAAAACACGAACATGTTATTTATCAAATGAAAAGTACTACAGACTTACAGACTCATGTAATAATAATAAAAAAAACACATGTTTGCAACAACATATAAACATGCAAACATTGGAAATATCAACAGAAAAACAGGACAAGCATTTGATGAGCAAACATATTCTATACGTTTACAAAACTTTGAAGTTGGTATGACTGTAGGGAAGGTGACATCAATCAGTTCAGTGACAATTTCTCTATATTAATTTTATATATATTTTTAAGCGTTTCATCCCAAGCAAGGTGAGAAGCCACTAGGATGCAAGGGGTTACAGAAAATTTGGAGCAAGATCAGATAGGAGTGATAGAAGAAAGGATGAGGAGAAGGGTAGTGGATAGATTAAGGCAACTGGAGATGTCGATTGACATTACATTTGAATAGTTGGAGATTATAGCTCTCAGGGAAACTGGAATAGGGAAGGGAGTTCCACAGGTGAGAGGTGCGAGACATGAAGCTATTGGAGTAGAAGAGATGGCTACATTTAGGAGTTTCGAAAGTGAAAGGGTGAGAGTGGGATGCCAGCCTCGTAGGGCGCTTGAA